GAAATACGTTTTTGTCATGAAAATATTCGACTAGAAATAAATATGTTTTGCTAATCAAACCAAATATCATTTTTCTTGCTAATAAAATAATATAAAACTCGTGCGAGTACTATTTTACATCAATGACGCAGTAGAAATTCCTGGCCTGTCCATTTACAATCTTTTGTTTACGTAACTAATTCGAGTTGTATCAAAAAACAAAAATCGCACTTAAAGTTTCTAATTTAGCTCCAGTATATAATTATCTGCTTAGAACTACCAAATTAAGTTTAAAGTAAGTTGGATTAATGCACTCTTACCACGAAAACCACATATGTTCAACCTCTTTCACCTCCTCCGTGTCCCGATCTTACAGATCTCAACATGCATTTTCACCTCGTGTTTCACCAATGTCAATCATGACGAGGTCCACCAATGGCATTCGTAACACTAAATTCCGATCATACCTAACTCACCAAAAACAAATGTACTGTGCCCATAGGCACAGCACAAAAACAGGAATACATATTACAGCATCACCAAGAATTCGCCATTTATATACCTTTTCCAGCCAGCACGATCAGACAAAATGAGCTTATATTTGAATGTAGGCTTACATTTTTCGGAAACTTTAGCCTCTAGTTTGTCGACTGGAAACTGGAAAATATTGTTACTAGATGTGAACTCGTTTTACTTATTTCAACCCGGGACTTTCAAGCGAACTAAAAAAACAATGTGTTTTTAAATATACCATTTGCTTAATGGAATCAGTTCATAATAAAAAAACAGTCCTAACCAAAACGGAAACGGGAATCGATGGAGCTAATCTGTTGTTCGAAGACTTTTCAAAGCATTTGTAGTACAGTAGGTAGACAGGAATGGGTTACACTATGGCGCGGATTAAAAGTGTGGGGGAAAAATGTATAAGGTCTATATCTATTCGAGTATCTTAAAATAAAAAGAAAAAAGAAAAAGAATTTCGATAAAAATGTTTAGCTATACATTTCAGGTCACCCATCCAAGTACTAATCACGCTCAAACATGCTTGACTCAGTGTCTTGGTAGTCCAAGTTTTTTCCACTGGGGCACGATTTCACGAAATTAACACAACAATAACCATGAAAACAATGCACCAAGTAGACTAGATTATTTTCCACTTCAAATCAACGTGCCAGTGCGTGGCAGAGTGCAAGGGATTAGCTGTAGATATGGTCTGGGGGCCGGCTAGTCTCTCCCCTGATGCTTCGGCTAGAACACTATCCTGCGTAATCCGTACACCCAAGGGCAGAGGGACTTAATTGCCGTCATGTCCGAAGTCCATACGATGACCCAGCGGATGTCTAGGGGTATGGCATGAAGGCACTAGTTTTTTTCTTCTGGTATTTTGGAATTAATTATCTAATTAAAGTTGGTGGAAACGAGTTCGATTCCCTTCGTATTAAGAGTACTTTTTTTCTTTTTCTTCTTCGTTTTCTCTATCCTTTTTTTAAAGTTTATTTATTATTTKTGATGAGCGGCTTTTATCAACTCAAGAAACTGAGGATTCCTTTTTCTTTTTCTTTAGAAAGCCAATGTTTACTCCCCCCTAACATTCACCATTATGAAACAGTTTTAACTGTTTAAAAGCAATAAAAGCAATCTTCATTTTAAAAGATTGAGCTGCTGAGCTTTCCTGCTTTAAAACTTTCAGGGAACAGTCGACTGACAACAGCTTTTACTCGACTTGGATTCTCAGAACTTGGTTATGACACCAGTATATTACAATTAGGATGAAGATGCAGGCCGTGAAAAAACATGACAATGCACCGCGTATAGATTAATTTCTACTTCAAATCGCGGTTTACTACAGCTTACACAATATTTTTTTGTTGTAGGACAATCTAAGCTGTAAAAACTAGTAGGGCATAATGGCTGTCCTATTCAATATATTTTAATCTCCTTGAATTGACTTCTAGCCACTTACCATGCTTATTGGCCTTGTGAAACGTGTATGATATTCATTAACATATGCAACTGCAATCACATCTGAAAAAGAGCCATCCACTTCACCGACACACTTTTTCCAACGTTCTTGTTCAGATGTAGTACCAACTGTTACTTGATTGTATTTGAAAGTCGCGTTCCTAAACGGCGCAGAAAGCCACTTGACCTCTGTTCGTATCACGTACCATATCATATAATTGGCCAGTACACTAAAAATAAATAAATGAAAAATAGAAAAATAAGAAGGAGGATCGTGTCATAATTTTCTTATGGGATCGCATGACTAATAGTCACGCGAGGAAAGCATCAAACATTTTTTTCCTGATAAAAGAATCCTTTAATTCGATGTATGCATTTTTTGTAAAAAAAACTAAATAAATATCACTTACGTACTTACTTTCAACTACTGATTTTATTGGAATAGGTTCTATACTGATTTGATAATTGTGTTATGTTCTATTGATGGTTTTCACAGCCGCCATGTTGGCTGAATTTAACAAAAGATTCATCATTAGGCTCTTGTTATATCATCCAACATGGCCGCCGTGTCTTTTGTTATTTCATTCTCTTGGGAATGATTGAAAACCAGTAATATTATTATAGAACATGTTTGCACTCTACCTCTTTGACGTGTTCTGTACTATTTTCATAGCCTTCTTTAGGTAGGACAGCGAAGGCACGAAAATTAGCTCAGTTTTATTCATCGTAGATGATGATGGTGCAATCATGCTATTCAGGTAATCATTCCAATGAAACTAATATAAAGTAAAACGCAATTTAGTGATGAAATCCATTCAAAGGCAATAGACATTTTTATTATAACGTCATGGTGTTAACACGAGCAGAAGATTGCGCACCTTTTTATTTTAATTACCAGCAGCTGCCTTACTATTCTCATGAGGGAAGAACAATTGAATTCGAAAAAAATTTGCTAGTTGGCATTGAGATTACAGTACTTATAGTACACTCAACAAAATTACTCGACTCTGATTGGTCGAGAGGAGTACAATTATAGCGTTAATTGTACTCCGTAGGAGTACCGAATTAAGTCGCTATGGCAACACGGCCAAAACGATGTCAAAACAATTATTTTCTATCATTTTGTACTTAAAAAGCATAAATAAAATTTTAAAGCCGTAAGAACTAATCTTTTTTATGCATTTCAGTTGCACGATGGACTGGAAATCGGCCGCCAAATAGTGAGACAAAGATGAACGGCGTCGCTTCGCATTTTTTACTGAAATTTTGTTGAGTGAACTATAAACAAAAAATCGCACGATCTTAAATTGTACTCGAGATCGTGCGATTTCTTATACTTATTTATGCTAACGTCAAATTCAACTTTTTTTGCTTGGGTATGGCATTTCCTGCCCAATTTATAACAAAGTAATTTGTATAATAATTTCTTTGTTTGTGTATCCATATTGTATCGACATTCATAAGTCTTGCCATGTGAACCTGTTAAACAAATGAAAGATACTCTAGGGAATAGAAGGTGGTCGACTGAGGGGGAAAATACAACCAGAAAAAAAACTAGAGCAGAACGAAGTCTGTTTTTTAACTGCACATCAAGGGTTGGACGCGCAAAGACGGATAAGATTCATTCTTTTTCCGAAACCACGATTCGCAATGTGATTGGCTAATCGTTTTCATTTATATCACCTGCTAAATGGCAGATCCGTGTGTAACAACAGCATTAATATTGATAGAAATGAAGGGTTTAGTCACAAATTACCTCAGGCACTTCTTGTTGAAGTTGTTCAAGAGTTACATTTATTGACAAAGATTCTTGTATTTCTGCTACAGTTTGGGATACCTAACATGCAAAACAATATAAGGGTAAATAAATTCGACAAAAATCTTAAAACTATTTTAGGCCTTCTTTTGCTTGCACCGTATAATATAAAGTTAAGACATGGAAATAAAATGTTACTTACGTTTGCAAGTTTGGCTTCAAAATCAATGATCTCGTCTGCTTTTTTAGCAGTAGTGTTGGCATCACCCCCCAACAAAACTACCACATCAATGATCAGCTGCTTGTATGCTAAAATTTCCTAGAAAAAGAAATATCCCAACATTGATTGTGGAAAATGTAAAAAGAAGTACCTCATTTTTGTTATCACATTATAAAAAAGAATACTGTTATATTTCATGTGGTTACTTACCTTTGATGATAGATTCAGATATTCTTCTTTCCCTAGGGCTGGTCCCGCTTGATCAATCTACAACAGAACAATAAACTGCCAATCAATCATTAATTAAATCAGTTACACAAGAAAAACACTAAAGAATACAGTTGCCGCATAAAGCACGTTTACAATTGTTTAGTTTTGTTGTTAACGTTCAACGTATTGATAAGGTACTTACAGAGAGAGATTTCTTGGTTATATCCTTGCCATCGGGTACTATTGCCACCGAAAACACCGGCCCTCCATAGGCAGCTTTATGAATAGAAAGAAGGGTCTTCTCAAAATCCCACATATCTTCGTTCCAGTTTCCAATCATATTCCAACCTCCTAATTCCACAATACGTTCCCTCAAAGGTGCGTCACCAAGATTTTCAATGGCCGTTAAGTTTATGCACGATTTATACAAATCTGATGGCATATCCTTTACTTCTCTGCTCATTCCGTTGACTTCTATAGTTCCATTTTCTAATATACTTTTTTTATATTCCTCTGTTTTCAAATATATCTTATTTAAAACATCATAATATGTATAGCCTGGCGGCAAAATATTGTTCTTAGGCCATAGCCCACAAGCGTACCCATGAAAGTCATCACAAGGGTCTACAGAAGTGTTCATCGAACTTTTGATTTGTTCGGCTGCCTCAATGAATTCCTTGGTGTAACAAACCCTGCTAGATTGGGTGTTTGTTTTGCCTGCTGTCTTGACATATCTTGGGGATCGAATCTTGTTCAAACCTTGATCAAGAGTATTCATCTTGTTCTGACTTGCTGCTACATGAATCATGGATATCATCAGTAAGAATTCCAAGAGACGAGGACCATGGATTAACGACCATCTCTTGTTTTCTTGTCTCCCACCGCTGCCACCATTCATCATTCTTCCCATCACGAATACACTGATTTTTGCTACTTACTTACTAGCTATCTCTCTCGACGAGGAGTGTTGTCAGGAGTGTGAGACCGTTCGATCGGCTTGTCTTTTTCTACCGGTAAATCAGACGTGTATATATCTACCTGTTAAAAAAAGTTTTTTGGCCTGCTCCTTTAACTGTCTAGCGTATCACATTAATGCCAAGTTGTCGGAGGTTTTTTTAATTTTCGTTGATGGAATGAACTACTGTTGTATCTAATCTCTGAACAACACAGGTTTTGTAGAACAATAATTTACCAGAATGAAGTTGTACAATCTACAACTCTGTAACAATATATACTTCTTTTTTCGAGAAAACGTTGTCGATTCGGAAATTATCTGAAATCTGAGAATAACGTTGCAAATTGTAACAATACAATACAATACAATACAATACAATAACTTTATTTAACGTGGTCGAAAATACACTTAGCTCAATATATAGGATATTTTGCTAATTTTCAGGTACTGCCACAAAATATAATATAATAAATTAAGAAAAATTAAGTTAAAATTATGATATAATATAAATATGATAAAATATATCTATATATAAATATGCAATATAGTACTAATAAGAAATATAAAATACAATTTATTTACAATGTCTTAAAATAAAGTATTAGTAATTATGTCTGTGAGTTATACAAGGTTTCTAGTTCCAATGTTCTTAATTCTYTAAGGAAGCTTTTTATGTTCACTTCTCGTCTCATGCTATCTTGTAGACTGTTCCATATTTTGGGAGCAATATACCGCCATGACTTAAGGCCCTGCTTTGTAGAATTGATTTTTGGCAGTTTTAGAATGTTCGTTCCTCTTAGACTGTAACTTGTACTTAGGTGTTGCAGCAGTTCCTTTATGGATTCTGGGCTGTTGTAAAACATCCACAATTTCATTTAAAGTTGTAATATGCATGTAGCATGACTTTGGGTTTTTCGTATTTTAGCCAGAATACCACATTAAAGTACAAACAATATGTTTAGTCCTAGATTTAAATCTCGGTCCTTCAAAATTTTTTGAAATAGGCATACGTGTTTTACGCGTGTTTACTGCGGTGTTTTGGTTAAACCATTTATCGCTGTTTCAATGACTTTACAGGGATTCTGGTGGTTTTAGTGAATGAAGTGACTTGGTAAAACTACCGGTGCCAAGTGCATGTAAACTAAATATTTATTCATTTTGGCAGTCGTTTTATTTGGGCCATGACATACGTTACTTTTTGTGCTGGGCCTATGGGCACAGTACATTTGTTTTTGGTGAGTTAGGTATGATCGGAATTTAGTGTTACGAATGCCATTGGTGGACCTCGTCATGATTGACATTGGTGAAACACGAGGTGAAATTGCACGTTGAGATCTGTAAGATCGGGACACGGAGGAGGTGAAAGAGGTTGAACATATGTGGTTTTCGTGGTAAGAGTGCCTTAATCCAACTTACTTTAAACTTCATTTGGTAGTATTCTAAGCAGATAATTAGAAACTGGAGCTAAATTAGAAACTTTAAGTGCGATTTTTGTTTTTTGATACAACTCGAATTAGTTACGTAAACAAGATTGTAAATGGACAGGACAGGAATTTCTACTGCGTCATTGATGTAAAATAGTACTCGCACGAGTTTTATATTATTTTATTAGCAAGAAAAATGATATTTGGTTTGATTAGCAAAACATATTTATTTCTAGTCGAATATTTTTATGACAAAAACGTATTTCATGCCGTAAGCTTGAATGGGGGCGGGCCAGGAATTTCTACTGCGTCATTGATCTAAAATAGTACTACTATTGGTATTTACTAAAACAAGGAGCGACCTAAAACCACCTGAAACCACCCGAAACCACCTAAAACGACCTGAAACGACCTGAAACGACCTGAAACCATCTTGAAACCACCTGAAATCAGCCAAAACATTGTATCTCCATCGAGTTTGTCGTCCAGTTTGTGTATTTTATTGACTTTTATCGATCGATCGAGTGTTTGTTTTCCTTGGAAGGAATGTACTTCATGGTAAAATGTCATATAGTCGCTCATACGTATAGTCTCCCATAGAAGTATTCCACACTTATACCTCAC